CCTAAGAGATCAGATCTAAGGACAAAATGACAAAAGGGGACAAGACTATCTATGATAGCCATGGAAGCACTCTAAAGAAGGTGGCTGAGAACTGTACAGCAGGGATTACCTTAGGGCAGGGTCCTAGGGACTTAGAGGATTTTGACTCAGCCATCAATATCACATGAGATGGTTGAGATGTTTATCTTGGTCCTTCGATCTGTATCATGGGTTTGAGATGATCGCAATATTTCAAAATTAGGTGATCCCTGATATTCTCCTGACACCTCATTGGGAGGTGTAGAGTACAAAGTCCACCTTCTGGGTGCAAACCTCCCATATGTTATCATGGTCTGCATGTTTTGGGTCTGTCAGGGATGTCTTGCCAGTCCAAATCAGATGTTCCCTGACAAATTCAAGCTAGGTCAAGAATGTATGACATTAGAAAACTAGATGTGAGCTTGGGGATGAAAGGAGGAAGAATGAGTGCAAGAAGTAAAACAGGGTAAGAGAAGGTAGGGAAGAAAGGGGAGAGGAGGGAATGGAATAGAGGAAGGACAAGAAAGAAAGTGGGCAGGTGTGAGGGCAACATGATCCAGCAAGGCTGATAATCAAGAGCTCCAAACAGAGATATGAAGAGATTGAGAGAAGATTTGGGAGAATCAACAGATAGTCCAGAATGTTGGTGGGTTTCAGGGTTTGATTAAGATCAAAGCAGAGGTCTTGAAGTCAAAAAAGAGTTAAAAGGTATCTGAGAGCAACTGAGAGCTATCAAAGTTACATAAACTGCTGACTAGAAATGCTTAATTATGGTGACATCTTGAACAGATCAGATCTAAAGGGGAATTGCAATGAGCAGAGACAGGTTATATATACTAAAAGGGTGGAAGTAATGTGGAAGCAAAGAAAGTGGCTTGGGAACTGTACAGTGACCAATCATTCTTTCAGGGGCCTTTGGCATGCAGATTGGGGGGGTCACATGTTTTGAAGGTTTTGAAGGATTCAGAAGTTCAAGATGTATGATTTGGTTGAAATGGGATTGAACATAAGTTGATAGTGGGTTGAAATTGGGTGTCCCCTGACAGCAGGAAAGAAGACAGGGGAAAGAAGAGAAGGAGAAGAAGCAGGGGAGAAGCAGAGGAGAAGGGGGGGAGAAGCAGAGGAGAAGCAGGGCAGAAGCAGGGGAGAAGGGTGTCAGGGCACACTGCCAGATGTTGAAAGTATCCTCAAATCAGGAGCCCAATAAAAGCAAGAAGCAGCAAGGAGAGCATGAAAGCTTGAATTGTGGTCAACAGTAGGGCTGATGTATCAAATAAGCCCAAAATGCCCCTAGTCACAAGAGAGATGCAGTGAAGTCATGAACAGTCTGAGGGGGTTGAAGTCTAGGTTTGAACACCAATCGGAGAGTTGAAGAGGTTCAGTGAGGGTTCAATCTAGGTTTGTCACTATCTGACAGTGGAATTCCTGAGAGATCAGCTCTAAGGGGCATAAGGCTCCTAGAGATGGTATATATACATGTAGGAAAATGGAAGTATAATGGAATCAAAAGGGTAGCTGTGGGACTGTACAGTTTACCATTGTTTAGGGTGGTGCTTCAAAGAAGTTGAGTGGTTTTGCTTCAGGGTTGGTGGATTTGGGCTATACTGAGGCCAAAGTAAGCCTTTTGGTGTTGATTGTATCAAATTTGCACCAAAACTGGGCAAATCCTGACAGATATATTCGGACACCTATATTTCAGATACTTCTTGGGTTGGATCATCACACAGCCACAAAAGGAAGCAATTCCAGGTATGGCTAAGTACCTTCATTGCTTACCTATACACCTCTAGTGACTGCTATGTGAACATGTTACATTGATGTATTAATGTGCTTTGGTGATGCTTTGAAGCATAAAAAAAGAGTCAATGATGAAACATATATATTCAGACTTTTGCACTGCTGCACTTATTTGATTTTGGACCTTCTCACTAATGTATGGTGGACATTTGCAGACAGCTGCAGTGTTAGTGGTCCCAGCTGTCTGCAAAAGGCCACCAGACATGGTTGTTGCTGGATAAGGGTCCTCAGCATCTAATTTTGCTCAAATCCATGGTTTTTCTCCATTTGGGTTCAATTCCAATGATTTTTCTTCTGTTCATGGCTGTGAGCAGAGTAAAAGGTCTGCATTTGAGTCCAGGGTATAGTATCTGTTTCCTTCTCAATGGGAGCAAATACTTTGCTTCCATTTAGTGGAAGCAGATAGGTACTCCTGTGCAGGCAAAGTTTTTGCTTCTGTGTACTTGTTTTGCCTCCAGTAGCCTCTGCAGAAGTTCTTACTCACTTCTGTGGAGTTTATTTTTCTCCCAATTGCTTCTGCAGGAGTATATCAGCCTCTGCAGATGCAAATAGAGTGTTTTCACTGGAGACAAATGTGCACAGCATTTTGAATCCTCATTTTGAGGCCATGTCCCCACTAGCATCAGACCGTATCACTGCTTGAAGGACCCCTAACAAGCTGTCCACAAATGTCCACCATACTAATGTAATATAGAGATGCTCATGGGCAACAGGTGGCATGTTCAGGGGTCCTTGATGAGCATGGTCCAAAATCTGAGCATAATCAAATATCATTCCATAGGGTTGCACTTCTTATTTCAGGGCTCAGATCTCCTTTGGATTCAATTTCCAGCTCATCTGTTATGTGATTGCATGACAGGTGAAAGAAGTTGTGGTTCCAGAGGGGAAAGGTAAGGGGTTTGCCATGCACACCATCAGCCTGCAGGATGCTAAGGAAGACATAGTTCCATGCACCAGTAGCCACGGAGATTATGATTTCTCCTTCTGTTGCTTGGTTCTATGGCAAACATCTATCAAGGACTTCTTGGGAGGCTTCAGCCAATGCCCTTATGAGGGCAACAGTCTGGGTGCCAGCTCAAATACCAAAGGAAAGGGATGGCAGGGCATTAGCTGATAAGCCTCATCTGAAGACCCAAGCTGATGCTCAAGATTCACTCGTCTTCTCACACTCTGTGCTGTAAATACTGCCTGTGTCCTGGTGCAATGTGCACTTACAAGGTTTGAGGCACATACGTACACCACCGCCATGTCTTTGAATTCAGTGATCAATGTGAGTCGCTCTAGCACAATCAACAATGATGATCACTCTAACCAGCCATTTCAGTCACAGCTGCGTAAGGAAATAGCCGCATGGCTGTTGCGAGCCAAAGAAAATGCCAAATCCAGCGTCAGCTTCGGTGAAAATGTTTGGGCAGACTGTCACGGCGGAGGCACATCCAGGTCGCCTTATTGTCGCCCCCAGGGCATCAGGAACTCTCAGGGCGACTATAGCATCCAGCTGCTGCTCCTGAATTACAGTTCCGGAAGGGGGGCAAACACACAAACCCTACAAGCAATTTCGGCCGTGTCGTTCGGAAAGAAGCAACCTACGAAAGACGAAGTCTACGACAAGCTTTCAGAGATTGTAGAGTGAGTTGGATGAGGGGTTCGGAAACCATGTTCACCACGTTCTCGTCAACCAGGTTTGTAGGAGCACGGTTCTCGGCTGTAATCACTCTGCGTAGTTACAATGTGTTCATTTCTCTTAAGGAATGCACCATGGGCTGCTCAAATAAGACAAAGCTCCAAGAAGTCAGACACAAGCCTGTTAAGGAATAACCGTGCCGTCCGTGTAAATGCAGCATTCGGCGGATATGTGACACTGACTCTCTAGTACGACAGGCTACTAGGAAATCACTGAAGCACCGGACATGCGAAACGGCCAATTAGATCCCAGCATATATCGTCCTGTCATATTTTGCAGCCGCTTAGAGGCTGCTTTCGTTGTTCCAGAAGAGAGGGAGTGTTGTCCATCGTATGGAAGAGTCCGTCGAACAAGCCACACGGTTGGCTTTCCCAAATGTGATCCAGTACACGACCTTCATTGCAAGCACAGACGGGACTGCCGAGACAGCCACTCAGTGCGGAAAATCCACTCCTGAATCCCGTAGACCAAGAGAAAATGTAATTTGAGGGGATGCTGCGCCTCTCTCCAGAAACGCTCCTGGAAGAGCGGATGGTTCCTCGAGAGATGCAGCCGAAATTCCTTGCGATAGACCAGCTCTTCTTTCATCGCTTTGCGAAGTCCCGCCTGCCAATCCACACCTTCCTGGCCACATTCGGGTGCTTCCATTATTTGTGAAGTATCATCCGGTGGCATCCAGGGAAAACCGCCCGTCGTCGTGAGCCATTGGTGTGTTGCACTATGGATAGAAGAGATGTCGTCGGGATATCGCGCAAGCATGAATCGCGGCAAGACAGCCACCCCTTGTAGATCGATGAAGCCGATAATACGACCCGTAACTCATGTGATGTCAATGTCGCTACAGTAGGTAGAGAGCGGATAGGACATACCCGGATTACATATGATATTACGCCACGCAAAATCACCAATGACGAGGCACGGTTTGGCAAGGTTCGGGGACAGTGGGCGGGCAGAGATCAGTCTCAGAATGAGGGAAGCTGCTGTTCTGACATCCTCCGTGGTGACTTCTTGGTCATTCTTCCAGTTTTCGAGATCGTGTCGAGCCGCTTCAGACTTTAAGAGCTGTTTCCATAATTCTTGTACGGATGTCGTGGACACTCGGGGCAGTGCTGCTTCTTCTCCCCGCGGGCGGTTGGAATAACGAGCCTCGGACAGGTAGGGTCCGACGATAAAATCCTCAATCTGAAGCTCTCCATCGTCCCTTCCGTGTTCGACTTGAGTATGCAGATCATCTCGCTTAAATGTGATCATGCCGAAGGAGGAGAAAAGACATGGCCGGGCGAGCTTTACATAGTGTGATGCCAAGTCAGCCAGGATAGCCGACCGCTGAGAGGCATTGTCCCTCCAAACGACATCTAATGACTCTCCTTCCAGATAATCCAACAGCAGATACGGAACGCCAGCAGGGTTGTTGGCATCGTTATTCCATGCCCACACGCCGGGAGAGGGAAAGTCTGGCATGAAGCGATGGAGGTAGGCCAAGGTGGCGACCTCGGACTCTATGCGTTGATCGAGATATCCGCTCGTGTCACCGCCTCCATCACCGTACTTGTCAGTCTCTCGCGGTATCCTTGCGACGAGGTTGCGGCCGCTTTTGAAGGTGATGAGGTACAGCTTCGTCCATTGGCCATAGGCCAGATGGGTGACCGTCGGGGGATGTTGTTCGTTTGTAGCCACGTAGGCAGCATACGCCAGAGCTGGTAGGCACACGCCAAGTTGAATCAGAGCAACAATTGCATCATCCTTGATAACAGCTCCATCGGTATGCGCCTCTGACTCAATGATTCCTGTATTACATGTGTTAGTCAAGACTCATTCGCTGTACTGTTTTGAATCTTCTGCGTACTGACCCTCGAAGCTTGTCCACGCATCCGGAATTACCTGCGGGCGCCGTAGCGAGGCAGTCGGAGACGACACGCCCCGAGTCATGGACTTTGTTCCAGAAGGCCTTAGACCGTGACAAGAAGTTGACTTGTCTAGTACTCGAGTCGGATCACCTAAAGAAGAGTAGTGTTGGTGAGATGCAAGAGTAGGAACGCGGCCAAAGGGACGACGAAGGTGTCTGATGATAGTGGATTGCCAGTGCCTGAGTACCTTAGAGAGGTTGAGTGAGGAAAGCAACATGTTTGACTCGGGAATTTTGCGGATGAATTGCCGATTGTACTATTAGTGAGAAGGAGTTAATTCCTCCGATGGCCCCAATTCGGAGGCAAAATCGCCAGAATGGCCCTCAGGGCCCAATATCCCTCGATGACCCCTCTGGCATGCGGTGCTAGGGACACATTTGTGCTTATAATGCCAAAATAGGGCACCCATGCCAATTGAGCAAATTTGGGGTCCTTCAAGTAGTAGATTAATAAAATATGACAGAAACATCACAATAATAAGGAGAGAAAGAGAGAAAAAAGCACTCTCATCTACTGTGTGCTCATTACTTTTTTTTTCGCCTTTTTGTAGTTCTAAATTTGGTCGATATATGTGCATTCGGGTGAATGTCATCGTGCCCTTCATCAGGACCCCTAACGTTTTTATTTTCCCCAAAACCCTTTTTACAGCTTCAGAAGGGCAAATGCCTTCCTAACGCCGCTCCGAAGGGGTCATTGAAGGAAAATTGAGCCCGGAGAGCCATTCTGGCGACTTTGCTTCCGAATTGGGGTCATCGGGGGTATTGCCTCCGCTGCACAGCCATGAATTGGACCCCAAATTAGAGAGGAAAAATAGGGATACTGGATGACATCCCGTAGGATCTGCGTGCCCCACGCAGATACGCAAAATGCGGCATTTGCTCATGCCGTGCTTCTGGAAGCCTCACGCAGATGTGCTCAGGGTTCACGCAGATCGGTTTTCTGCGTGAGGGGGTCACCCCCGTCACGCAGAAATTTCGTGCACGTAGACCTTCACGGAGGCACTTCTGTTCTTCC